TGGGTGGCTACTTCATAGAAGTACAGGGATGGTTTGTGAATACTTTACCAACAGGTAAATTAAGATGTGTATTTGTGTCTTTAGTTACTCTGTGGTAGTAGCTGCTTGTGTGCATGTTTCCACCCTTTTGTTTTTCACATTCCCTCTGAAGTTGTCTTGTGCTAGCTGTGAGATAAGACTGTGCAGGTGAGCAGCAGAGATGGTAAACTAGGGGGTGGAATTAGGCTGCAATAACTGTCTGGGTAGCCTTAAAAATGGATCGCGTCCTGCAGTCCTGAGCTATGGTCTGTGAGGCTGCCCTGCTCTGGTGCTTTGCCAAGGTGGATTTGAATGTTCCAAGCTCTGACCATTGGCTGTGTTAGATTCTCTCCATCTTGATGTGTCCTGGTGTTCACATGTTTTCCCTTTCAAGGGAAAAGGTGATTTCTGTTGCTGCTTTGATAGAGGTGTGTCAGTACTGGCATGGCTTAGCCTGTATTGTTTGGTTGGGTGGGGTGGGAGAAAGAGGAGAGGAGATACAAATGGGTAATTGGATTCAGGGATGATTGTGCTGCTGTAGTAGGTTTTACTGGATGAAGCAGTTTGTTAGGCGTTTGTTTCAGCTTCTGGCTCCAGGTGTGACTTGGCTAGATAAGGATGCTCTATCGCGATGATTTCATTGTTTGATTTGGCTGGACTGGGTGGAGAATGTAGTTGCATTGTTTGGGACTGGCTTTGTAGTTTGATTTTGTTGAAGTGGATTACATGGCAGCGCATTGCTACATTATTAGGTGAAGCTGCAGTCGATAATAGTTGGAGGATGTTGAAGAGAAGAGAATATGCCCAGGGTTTCACAATGTGTAACTAATTGAGCCTCGCAACAGCTCCAGCGTTCCTGCTGGAAGATCTGGTCAGCAGAGTGTGTTGGGATTACACAGTAAACCTCTGGTAGTGATTTCAGTTTGCAGTTGTTCTTTAACTGCAAGGCTGGCTGTGCTGTGTAAATAGCTGTGAGTGCTCCATAAGACCATGCTGGCTCCAGCAATGTGAACCTTGTCTGCATTCATACTGTTCTTGCAGCCTCTCCAGTGTTCACAGTGGGTGAGGTTGAAGCTGGAGGTAGCTGCTCTCTGTCTTTACTGACCTCAAATTTACCATGGAGCCATTCCTCAGAGTACATGTTTCCTTGTATTACTGAACTTACACTTAAACTTGCTTTAACGTTGTGAGTGAGCATTGATGCAGGGCTGTCTCCACCTCTGAAAGTGTGGTTCTTCAGTTCCTGGGCTATGGACTCTTTTGGCCTTGTAGGAAATAACCATAGTGCAAGGTGGGGTTAACCCCTCTCTCGTAAGCAAACTGTCAGTATGTCTTGCTCAGGAAGGTTTGCAGTTGGATTACCTTCTCCCTGTAGTGTAGCACAATGATACGAAGTAGGAGCTGCCAGAACAGTAGTGCTTCTTCCTTCCAGAAGCTGTCTGGTTTACCCCTAGATGTGGCTTTACCTGATACTTGATGTTTTTATTTATGCATTGTCTGGCTGTGGAGGAGGTTGTATATATGAAGCACAAGGTTTTGGCAGACATTGCTGGGCACAGTGAGGGGAAGGTGAGCCTTTGCAGAGAGATGGGTACAGAGAAGGGGAGGTTACATGTCCAAACTTTGTGCCAGCTTCTCTAAGAACAGATGAGCTCATGGGAATCCAGCTAGTTCAGCTGTGGGAGTGCTGAAGCAGATCTGACCTATTTCCCCTCCATGTGCAGCATCCATCTTCAGACTCTTCCAGTCTAATGGTGGCTTTTTCGGTACTGACAAATCTTGATAGTCTTGTTGCCAGTGGCCAGTTTTGATTCCTGTGCTCCTGTTACTGGATGCATGGGAGGGATGCACAGTTTGGGTGTGCATTCTTGTTGGTGAAACTCTTCCTCTCTCTCCTTTCCCCAGGTGATCATTTCTTGTGAGACGAGTGGTTCGCAACTCATGGCCTTCAGAATGAGTACTGCAGTGTCGTGACACCAGGGGTCTTGGTAAGCTACTTGTTGGAAAGGGGAGCACCTAGCATATCTCCACAAATGCAGGTTCATCTCTTCTTGTCTCTGCTGTTGAGCTTTGAAGTAATTTTAAGCCATCCAAATTGTAAACTGCAACCAAATGGGGTGAGGCCGCTTTTCACATGTTCTCACCTCCTCTTTTCAGCTTGCAGTGGCACTGATGTGGTTACATCAGCAACCAGATCAGTGAACTAATTCAGCTGAATAGAGATTTCTGCTGTTGCCCTTGGATTAATTCCCATTCAGATCTTTCCCTGATGTGGTCAGGAGAGAGGCAGTGAGAATGAGTAGCCAGTGGAACCATCCCCTTTCCCTGCAGCCGTTGCCCGGCATACCTTAAAGCAATCCTGAAAATACAGCCTTGGATGTAGCTTGCCAAAATATCTGGAAAAGCTGCTTTACCTTTCACAGTGACCCTACCTCTATAATTTTAGAGCAGTGATAAAGGCTTTGCTATGGCAGGCAGACTGCAGCTGCAAAAATACATTACTCTAGAGCTTTTCCATTATTGAACCATAGATTCCCAGACATACATATGTTAGAAGTGCATTTAGAAAAATCATGAGGAATTCCATTTCACATGATAAAAGATGGTACATTCCCAGTGTGCAGAAATGAGAAGCTGAGGAAGTTGAGTTGCTGTTTTCCCACCAATGAATATATTGATGTATCCTTTATAGCTTTGTCTGGTAAGAACTTTAAACTGAGATTGGAATATAGTTTCCTTGCAGAGTGTATCAGTTCTAATAGATGGAAGATACATGTATTAGGGTAATAAAAAAGTAGGGTTAAAAAACCTGTAACTTTTTCCTCCCCCCTTGAAGTACTTGAAAGTTCAGTGATGTCAGAAATACTGTGCAGCCAGTGTGATCTTGATTTTGTTCCTCATGTTTTCTTATTGTACTGTGCAAGGCTGGGAGTCTCAAACTTCTCATCTTGTAACAAAAAGTAACATGATAACACATAGATACCAAAAGTGGAAAAGGAGAGGATGAAAGGGTAGAATATGTAAGTTCATCACAGGCATCTGCATCCTGCTTTCAGGATTGACCTCTGCTTGCTTTAAAGCTATTGTTCCCTTGTTATTTTTAACACGAAATTCGCCATCTTTTCAGTCATACACTAACCTTAAGTGAGGACCCCGAGGTATCACTGAATTCCACTGACTTTTACAGATAAATGAATCTCTTTTGAAAAGTGGTGTTAGATTCTGTTGATGTTACGGTTTTGTTGTCAAAACATACATAGGAGTAAAATTCGCATGCAGAGATGGTACAATTTAGATACTTGTAAAGATGTGCTCTTTTGTCTTTAATGTATCTTCATAGTACCAGCTCTAGTTACAGCATGATAATAGTAACAGTAGTAATACAGTAAGTCCGACATTGTTCTAAAAATCAGAGGGATAACCATCTGATAGCCCCACAGAGGTATGTGGATCCGGTGGTGTTAATCTGATTGTGCCTAATAGGAGGTATTACAAATGAGACCTTTATTGCAGAAGCATTCCCCACATGAATGGGTTTGTGCAGCACAGCGGAAGTGAGAAGAGGGAGCAGGGTTATTTCTCTGGCTCATGAAGGAGGCATGTGGTCTAGAGGAGACTTCTTGGAGATGATGCAGAGCTTCAGGGAACAAGCTGCCGTATGGAGCACTGTCATGTTAAAGTACAGCAGTGCAAAGTCACTAAAAGGTCTAATGGCACACCTCACAACAATAGAAATTTGTGGAATTGGAAAATCATGGTGCTCAATGCTGCAAGTTAGTGATTGATCTCCTTGACCAGAGGTAGTCATCTAGTGCCCATGTTTCATAATCGTTTGTGTCAGCACATAAGCAAGCCAATTTTTGTTTTCCAAATGCAGTTTACACAGCAGTTTCTTCATAAAATTCAAGCCACCTCCAGACTGGTGAGATTTATTTTGTTTCATTTGATACACACAGGTAGAAACTGGTGCTTTGGTGCTGAGAAGGCTTATCGGGAATATTTACAGTTGAATAATATTTAATCAATAATGCTTAATACATTAACAATAAATCTTGGTTAGACTCTAAATTAAGTGATTTGCATCTGAGTAGGTGAGATGAACAGGAGAGATTTTGTTGAAACATAAACAAGACAGAAATTTGTTCCAAAATAATTTAGCCCAAAGGACATACAGTGATGTTCAATAGTTTCCTCCTCCAGAAATGGTTGCCTTATTGCATGGGTTATGCATACTGGTTGCTAGAAAGAAGCTGAAAAAGTGCTTATTTTTAGGTGGTGTTGGTTGTTTTTGTTCTTTTCTTAAATCCTCAGTATCTGTATAGTGCTACTGAGCAAATTTAGAGGGGTAGTTGTCTAGTGCTCCTTTGGCCTTTCTGATAGAGATGTTGAGTGACTAACCTGGTGCTTTTGGGGTAATCACAACATAGCTGGTTGCTTACAGGTGGTCAGGAAGGCATTTTGGTTTATTTTCCTCCCTTTGTGCAAGCCTTAGCACACATCTTTGAATGTATGTCTAGTTATATTGGACCAGGGAGACAAAAGATTTGAGCAGAGTTTATGTTCTTAAGAAATATCAGATTACAGCCATTCACAAGGGAATTCTGGATAACTAAATCATGTTGGGGATTTGTAATTTGGGCTTCCTACTGACTTGCTATGAGGTGTCTTCAAGCTGAGTGCAGATGTGGAGTCAAAATGTCCAGATATGAGGCCCTTCCCTGTTTTGTTGACTCCAGAATGATTTGGTTTGGATGAAGGGGGAAGATGGCCTCACTGGCTGTAAACTGAATGGCCAGCCAGGGCTGCCCTGGTTTGATATACACAGCTGCACTTAGCTATCTGAAAGCTCTTCTCCTATGTTCTCAGTAATGGGGGAAGAACTGCCATTTACTGCTTCACACCAGACACATCTGCGGGGGCAGAAGTTCCTCACTGGTTTTCTGTTCTCTTCTGGTGGGGTGGTTTAACAGTGTGCCCTGGAGATGCGAGACTTCCCCTGGGCAGCAGGAGGCATACGTCTAGAGAATGCTGGAGCTGCAGGAGGGAAGCGCCCAGTGCAAAACCAGAGAGGAGCAAAGAGAAAAAAGGCAAGCAGAGAGCCAGCATTGAGAGAAGCGGGTGGCAGAAAGTGCTGCAACGCTGCCTCTGGCAGCACACTCCCAGAAGAACTTGGCAAGAGCCCATCTGCATGCGTGTGAGACTGTGAGCTCAGGATTCCTGTCAATGCATTCCAGTAACCCCAAAGTGAGGAACTCCCCGTCAGGCAACACACAGAGGTAAGGAGAGGAGCCTGCAGTCAGCTGCTCTGAATTTGTATGTGATGCTGTCCCTACTCTGCTGCAGGATTAGCCAAGTGCTGCTGTGTCTGACTTACTGGTCCTCCTTTGTGCTCCCATTGGGCTTACCTGAGCACCGGCTGCACAGTTCTGATGGGCTTCCATGTTTGCTAGGCTCAGGGTGAGCTGAAAGCTGTAAACGCATGAGGTGCAGGTTCTCCATTCCATGCACCCTCCTCTCTCCCTAACCCTATGCAGGTATCTGAATAGGCTGTAGGAGAGTACATATGCTGTTTCTGTCTGGATTTTTTTTTTTTTTTTTTCTTCCCCCTCTTCTAATTACCTGTTTCCCCAAGTGGTATCTGGGCAGCAGCAGGTCTTTCTGTCTGCACTTTCACACAAAATGCTTCCTCCATATTATTGACCTGAACAGCCTGGAAAGCTGATCAGCTGTGCACAGAGATCCTCTGCATCATTCACCTGCTAGTGCATCAGGTCAGCATCTCTCCTCTGCTAATTTGGAATGGGAAGAATATGGAAGTGAAGCAGTGCCCAGGGACTTAGAATGGTGTGATTGACAGCATTCTGGAGTTTGATTATTTACTCCTAGGGGTCATCTGGAGCTTGAGAGAGAGTAATTCAGAGGGAATGTCTCTGAGTCAGATATGTGTCCAAAGGAGGAAATGGCTTGTGGAAGTCCCATGGTGAAGATGCTAGTAAACCCTGCCTGTTGGAAGTGATAGTGATTATGGGAAAACACAATGCAGAAGATCCAATAGCAATGGAGTAAGTGGAGGCTGAGGAGGAGGGAGTGGCTAATATGTGTGTAAAACCCAGAGAAGCAAAGTATTTTTAGGATGCAGTTTGCTGAATGGAAGAGGGGAGGAAAGACTCCAAATCCCCTTTGGCAAATTAAAGAAGCTTCATCTGCCCCATTCTGCAGGAGTGTGCAGGGAGATGGTATCCTTCTCTTCCCTTATTCAGAGGCAGGTTGTAGCTGGTTTAATTGTTTTCACGGTCAGAGGTTTGTGTTTTCCTGGCAGCTCCTCCCAATGTATGACAAATGTTGCAGTAATGCTGGGTTTTCTTTGTGCTCCCTGTAGAACTGGATAAGGAGGTGCAAGGTGGGGAGGAGGGAGTTGTTAGGGTCTGCTCTCATCAGAGCTGCAGTGTACAGTTGGGGTCCAGGAGAGTGGTGAGGTGCACTTTATTGTGCCTTGTTTGTTTACTCTGAGCTGGTCTTGCTGTGAGCTGCTTCTCTGTGCACATAGAAACCGTTGTCTTTATTGACAGAAGCCCTGGAGGTAGGTCCTCATGTGACAGCAGTTCCTGGGATCTGGCAGGTCTGTAGCTTGCCGTGGTGCCTTCTTGAGCAGTGAGGTCCCATCTTGGATAATAACCCTTTCAGGGCATGTTCAAAAAAGCACCTGCATGACTTGAAGCTTACAGGCATTTTTTATTTGTCAGCAATTGCCTTAGGTTGCAAAGAAGGTGGCAGTGGTTTTTTCTGCCTCTAATCTGTTCCTATAGGGTGGAATGAATCAATGGTGTGATTTGTCACTATTTGTTTCCTTTTCCTTCCTTTGCTCTGTCCCCAGTAGCCCCAAATCAAAGCAGGAGGTGATGGTCCGTCCCCCTTCAGTGATGTCCCCGTCTGGCAACCCCCAGCTGGATTCCAAATTTTCCAACCAGGGCAAACAAGGGGGCTCAACCAGCCAATCCCAGCCCTCTCCCTGTGACCCCAAAAGTGGAGGTCACCCCCCCAAAGTGCTCCCTGGCCCAGGTGGGAGCATGGGGCTGAAGAATGGGGCTGGAAACGGTGCCAAGGGGAAGGGGAAGAGAGAGAGAAGCATTTCAGCAGACTCCTTTGAGCAGAGAGAAGCTGGGACTCCCAATGATGACCCTGAAATCAAAGGTATGTTTGTTAGGATCCATTGCAAGTGCAGACAATTAGTCAGAGTCCTCTGAGATGCAGAATCGCTATGAAGTGTTAGAGAAACATTTATTTGTGTGGGGTTCCCTTAAGTTCCAGCCAGTGAAGTCTGAAGGTCTCAAGAGCAGGCAAGGGTTGCCATAGCTGGAGTTGGTAAATGTCCTGTTCACACTCAGTTGAAGTGCAGACCTGAGTCTGGTGGGAAAGTTCCTTTGTAACTTTGAAACTCCTCCAGAGAATTTGAAAGTACAAATGAAACCTGTTGGTTTCTTTTTGGCCTTTGGCCTTTCAGGAACTGCTCCTTTGTAACTGGGATTTTGAACAATATGCAAGCCTGTTTTGTCAACACACGTACATAACCTGTAGCACCCTTACTGGTAACACAAGCCAGAGGGTTGGGATTTCTGTATTCTGTTCCTGGCTCCACCATTGCCTCTGTAAGGCAGTGCAAAACCAGACTATATGTGCAGTTTTCCATGTTTCCTTTGTCCATTTGCTAGATCCTCTGGCTAATGTGGCTGTGGGGTGTGGTGGTGGAGTTTCACAGAGTGGTCTCCAGACATTTATTCATTTTGGTGTGTGGTTTTTCTTCTGTGTGGCCATTGGAGAGTTAAAGGGGATTATCTCTGGGACCTGCCACTTTCCTTGGAAAGGGACAAGATGAACTTTGTCCCAGTGGTGTCTGAAGGGCAGCATGGCATTAGAGGGAATATGCCTAGTGTAATAGGCAATATGCCTTTAATGACGCTTGAGGGAGAAGCAGGAAGTTTCAAAGGAGGAAGAGTTCTCAACAGTTTCCAGAAATGGTTTCCATAAAGCTCCCAAGGTAGTGATTCTCTTCTTTTCCTCTTTCTCCACTTCCAGACTGCAATTCTGCTGATCATGTGAAATCCCAGGAGTCTCAGCATACACCACACTCCATGACACCTTCAAACACTTCAGCCCCAAGGTCTTCCACACCTTCCCATGGCCTGGCTGCCACTTTGGAGCCAGCAAGTGGGCAGAAGACTCCATCCAAAGTGGTTTATGTCTTTTCTACTGAGATGGCCAACAAGTAAGTAGGTAGATGCTTGAACATCCTCAGGGAGTGGGGCTTACTTTTGTGCTCCCTTTTGAAGAGATTCTCAAGTGCCCTTTCTCCATCAAGTGCATTCCTGTAGCAAAAAGTCATTACTTGTTTGGGATCCTGAAGGGGCTGGAGTGGAGACTCACCACATCTTGCTCTCTGAGAAATGATTATTTATTCCTCTGAGGTGTGGTTTGCTTTTTGGGGTTTTGTGTTTTTGGCAAGTGCTGATGGATACTGTTTTGCAATCCATGCAGTGAGTAGCAGCCAGTATGTCTTAAACTGAGACATGAACCCTGAATTCTAATGAGTTTGTAGATGTAAGCATTTTTCTTTTTCTACTCATCTAGAGTGAAATATGTGTGGTTAAGGCTTACTCCCCTCTGGTAGCTGAAGGAGAGGATGATGTTTAAGAAAAATTGCTTCTCGGCTTCAACTGGGTTATATATGTGTGTCTGTCTTTGCAGGGCTGCAGAAGCTGTGCTGAAGGGACAGGTGGAAACCATTGTGTCCTTTCATATCCAGAACATCTCAAACAGCAAGGTGGAACGAAACACTGTACCCTTGGTAGGGAACACCTGCATGTGGGTGGGAAAGGAAATGGTAAATGTGCCTGATTCTGAGAGACGGATGATTTCTTACACTCTGAAACAAGATTTGGGGTGGGAAAGAGACAGTTGTTATTCTAGCCGCCTTCAAATAAATGTCTTGGATCATCAAAGAAGAGCTTGAGTCTTGCAGTATTTGGGTAGTATATGTCCAACCTATTGCTCATGCAGAGCTAGCACAGAAGCAAGGGGCACCTATGATAATGCTTGAGAAAAATAGGTTTCTGTATGGCCAAGATGCTGCTCTGTAAATTGCTGCATGCAGGCTCCCCTTCCTTGCAAGGTGTGGGCTGGTGGGGTTGAGACAGGATGTTCTGTTTGCACTGCTGCTTATGTGACATGGTTGTAAGAAGAGCAGGTGATAGTGTGTGGCTTTCTCTTGCAGAACCCCCAGATCACTGCACTTCGGACTGAACCCAAGCCCCTGCCGCAGGCTCAGCCTCCTGCTGCCCAGGACCAGAACCCTCCCCAGAATGCCAAAATGCAGCCGACTCCACCCTTGTCAGCACCTGTATCCAAATCCACTGCCCCCCCATGTCCCATAGATCAGGACAGTCCGAGCGTTGAAAGCAAAGTGATGTCTGTGGGCAGCCCTGCCAACTCTACCCCGTTGCAGACAGAAGGATTTGGGCAGAGTTCAACCCCCAATAATCGAGCAGTCAGCCCGGTTTCCCAAGGTAGCAATAGCTCCACTGCAGACCCCAAAGGTCCTCCACAGCAGGTGTCTGGTGGGGACCCAGCCAGTTTGGGTGAGAATCCAGATGGACTGTCACAGGAGCAGCTGGAGCATCGAGAGCGCTCGTTGCAGACCCTGAGAGACATACAGCGCATGCTCTTCCCCGATGAAAAAGAGTTTGCAGGAGGGCAAAGTGGGGGGCCACCTACAAATGCTGGGGTTCTGGATGGTCCCCAAAAGAAACCTGAAGGGCCGATACAGGCTATGATGGCTCAATCCCAAAGTTTAGGCAAAGGTTCAGGGTCTCGGACAGACGGAGGGGCCCCATTTGGCCCTCAAGGACACAGGGATATGCCTTTTTCCCCAGATGAAATGGGGCCACCACCAATGAACTCCCAGTCAGGACCTATAGGCCCAGACCACCTGGACCACATGACTCCTGAGCAAGTGGCGTGGCTCAAGCTGCAGCAGGAGTTCTATGAGGAGAAGAGAAGGAAGCAGGAGCAGGTGGTGGTGCAGCAGTGTTCCCTGCAGGACATGATGGTCCATCAGCATGGGCCACGTGGAGTGGTCCGAGGCCCTCCTCCTCCCTACCAGATGACCCCTGGGGAGGGATGGGGACCTGGGGGTCCAGAGCCCTTCCCTGAAGGCATGAACATGTCGCACTCTCTGCCCCCCAGGGGCATGGCCCCGCATCCCAATGTGCCTGGGAGCCAGATGCGCCTGCCTGGTTTTGCAGGAATGATGAACCCTGACATGGAGGGCCCCAGTGTCCCGAATTCTGCCTCACGGCCTGGGCTTTCGGGAGTTAGTTGGCCAGATGATGTGCCAAAAATCCCAGATGGCCGAAACTTCCCTCCTGGCCAGGGTGTCTTCAGTGGCCCTGGCCGAGGGGAGCGGTTCCCCAACCCACAAGGTCTGCCTGAAGAGTTGTATCAGCAGCAGCTGGCTGAGAAGCAGATGGGCCTCCCTCCTGGCCTGAACATGGAAAGCATCAGGCCCAGCATGGAGATAAACAGAATGATGCCCTCCCAGAGACACATGGAGCCTGGGAACAACCCCATCTTCCCTCGCATGCCAGTGGAAGGGCCAATGAGCCCCTCCAGGGGGGACTTCCCAAAAGGAATACCCCCACAAATGGCCTCTGGCAGGGAGCTGGAGTTCGGGATGGGCCCTGGCAGCATGAAGGGGGACATGGGCATGAGTGTCAGCATGGGCTCCAATCCGCCCCTGGTCCCTCAGAAGCTGAGGGAGGCAGGAGTTGTGCCAGAAGAGATGATGAAACTGCGCCCCGTTGTGCCGGAGATGCTCTCCTCTCAGCAGAAAATGGTGCCACTGCCGTTCGGAGAGCACCCGCAGCAAGAGTATGGCATGGGTCCCCGGCCTTTCCTCCCCATGTCTCAGGGCCCAGGAGTCGGTCTCCGAAATCTCAGAGAACAGATCGGGCCTGACCAAAGGACTAACAACCGGCTCAGCCACATGCCGCCACTACCTCTCAATCCCACCAGTAACCCTAATAGCCTCAACACTGCTCCCCCTGTGCAGCGCAGCCTAGGCCGCAAGCCCTTGGATATCTCTGCAGCCGGTCAGGTGCATTCACCAGGAATCAACCCTCTCAAGTCCCCCACGATGCGCCAGGTCCAGTCTCCCATGATGGGGTCTCCCTCGGGGAACCTCAAGTCCCCTCAGACGCCCTCCCAGCTGGCAGGAATGCTCGCGGGCCCCACTGCTGCAGCTGCTGCTGCCTCCATTAAGTCCCCCCCTGTCTTGGGGTCTGCTGCTGCTTCTCCTGTCCACCTCAAGTCTCCGTCTCTCCCTGCACCTTCTCCTGGATGGACTTCATCTCCAAAGCCTCCTTTGCAGAGCCCTGGGATTCCCCCAAACCACAAGGCGTCTCTCACCATGTCCTCTCCAGCCATGCTGGGGAACGTGGAGTCGGGTGAGTACCCTCTGAGAGTGGATTTGGGTCTTTGGTTCGTGTTGGGACACTCTGATGTGTGCAGCAAGATGGGGGAGGAAGTTTTTTGCAGGGTGGCAGAAGCTAGATAGCGTTTTGCCCATCTGAAGGGAGGCTGTACTGTCGGTCCCTTGGGTGGCTATGCGAGTGGAGTGCAAGTGCTTTGCCTCCTCCCTCTTTGTATTTGTGGGTTTGCTCAAGTGTGTCCCCACATGAAAGTGAAAGGGTGGGGTCAAGAAGTGTGAAAAGATGTTGCGTGTTGGTGGGAGAAATCTCTCCTTGGAGGGGTTTATGGCCATTCTGCCATAGTTCCTGGTGATCACAGCTTTGTGGAGATGGTCCTGCTGATGTTAGGAAAGCACTTTGAGATAAAACGCTCCTACAAAGACTGTGCTTGGCATAGTTAGCCAGTATGTACTGAGGTATGGTTCAGGTATGGTAAGTGCTTCCTACATGTACCACCACAGACAGGGAGGTGTCTTAACATTTGTTCAGGCTTCTACCATTTTGGAGAGCTCTAACCACCACCACGTGGAGCACCCGGTGGTGTGTTGGAGCCGTGCTGTGCCTGGGATGCCAGTGTGCAGATGCTGGCACTGCCTTGCCTGCTCCTGAGCATCTCTGGGCTGCTGCCCTCTGTTCCCTCTCTCAGACCCTCCCGGGCAGGTTCACCTGGGAGCCCTCTCGCGCCTCCGGCCACAGCTCAGTTCACTCCAGGCTCCCAGCACCGCAGACCGAGCGGGCTCCCGGCGGCGGAGCCGTTTGCCCACGTTGCCCTCTAGTGCCGCTCCCGGTAACAGCGCGGCGGCGGTCGGGACGTGTCTGCCGGGCACGGGGGCCGGCGGGGGTCGGGTCTCCGTGCTGGGGAACGGAGCCTGAATGTTGGTGTCTGTCACGGCTGCTGATGCCGTGCCTAGTGTGAGCCCCAGCACATATGAGCCAGAACCGAGTGCTTTTAGGCCATACCTGGTGATGTGCTTAATGAGTCCTTTCAGGTGTAGTTCTTCCAAGGCGTAAATGCTTTGGCATTGAAAGGTTTCTGTATTCTCTATTCTCCTCTCCCTTTTTTTTTTTTTTTGTTGGGGGGTGGGTGCTGAGGAATGTGCAGTTCATTTTCAGTGACAGTACAGCTTCAATTTAGCATCGTCCCTTCACGTGTGGTCTGGATGGCATGAAGCTCATCGGTGACGGACAAAGGGAACTGGAATTGCAGTTATTTCTATTATGGGGAGAGCAAAGGAAGATATTAAGATAAAAGGTGCAGAGAATGCTTCTTTCACTGGGATAAGCAGTAAATATGTGTATATGAAACCTGAAATAAAACATAAACAGGGAGTTTTACTTGTAGCTGCAGGTACAGCTTGTCAGAAATCTGCTCACATGTCTCAGTATATTATCTGCTACAGCTTTCATTATGCTGTGTCTTTTGTTCTGGGTTGATGCCTCCTAAAGAAAAAAGGAAGGGAGTTACAGTTGGCATTTGGTGTATGTAGGAACAATACTGTAGATTTTGATTTTTATGGCTGGACCTGGTACCTAAGTCTGTCTTCAGTGTATGGAAGTTGAACAGTATGATTTTCAGAGTTACCTGAGAATTCTTCATGTAATTTTGTAGAGGCGCAGGATAGTTCCTGTAGAAGTGCAGAATCTGGGATAAGAGATGTTAACCATCTTGACAAATAGGCTCATTTTTCTGGTTATCTTTCACAAGCATTGACTGTGTTAGTCACATGGTCTCTTGCAGTAAAAAGGGTTTCTAGTTTTTGAGATGTGTAAGAGAAAAGGGTGGGTTTAAGGGGGAAAAAATGGTAAGAAGGGGAAAAAAATTAGTCCTCCTTTTCTTTTCTTTCCTCCCTAAGGTGGCCCACCTCCTTCCACAGTCAGCCAGTCCGCTCCTGTGACTCTCCCTGGAAACCTTCCCTCTAGCAGTCCTTACACAATGCCTCCAGAGCCGACCCTCTCCCAGAATCCCCTCTCCATTATGATGTCCAGGATGTCCAAATTTGCCATGCCCAGCTCTACTCCACTTTATCACGATGCCATCAAAACTGTGGCCAGCTCAGATGATGACTCCCCTCCAGCACGCTCCCCAAATTTGCCACCTATGAACAGCGTACCAGGTAAGAAACTCAAAGACACATAAGACCAAGCTGTTAGGCAATACAGTGAGGATGTCTGTATGGGGCCTTCGTCAAATGAAGATGGTGAGAGGGGAAAATCTTTGAAGAATATATAGCCATGGGTTAGTTTTGAGAAGGGCAGTTGCAGTTCTCTGAAGTGGGGTGACAGAAGTTCTCCTTCCAACCAGTTTACTCTGTCCTTCAGAAAATGTCTAATGTGGAAAGCTGTTCTGTATGGGAGAGACTTTACACAGGCATACTGGAATTACTTGTGTGAGTGAAGGCTGCTCGTGGGAGTAGAGTGTGTTACAGAGGAAACCGTTCTTCCCCTGTTTTAAGAGGCAGTGTCATAGAAGCTTCATAGTTTGTGGTGAAGCCACAAGAGCTTGTGCTGAATGACACTGCATCATCTGGTCTATTCTTGGGTTTCGTGGATTGCCTTTGTTACAGAAGAGGGTGTTAGAGTGCTTTCTCAAAATATGCATCTTTTCATATAGGCAATGTGTAATGGCAGGTGACCTCAGCCAGGACTGAGGGGAAACTGTCCTAGTCCCTGCCTGAGAGAGTTAAAGGAAAAGTAAAATAAAACATTGTGGGGCTGCCTTGTGGGTAAGCATGTTCAGAGGAGAAATCCAGTCACTGCTGGTAGCTTCATGTTTGTAGGGTACATATTAAATACAAAGTAAGCTGTAGCCCCTCTACCCAATGAATTGACGTAGATTAAAGAGGGGATGAGTAGCTGTATCATGAAAGTGGCACTTGGTAATGAATTCTTGATGAGTTTACCTGTAGCTTTGCTGTGTGCTTCACGCAGTAATGATCAGCGTGACTGGATATACCTGGGGAAGCTGCCTAATTGAATAAGTTTCTGATGACAGCTCATTAACCTCATTGATTGTTCCTCCTTGTCTTACATGGGTTACCTCATTTATCACTTCTGGAGTTTTGAAAGGACATTCAGTCACTTCCCAGTGGGCAAGTGTCCATATGCTGATAATCTGGCACAGACATGTTTGTTATCTGCCTGCCTCATCTGGATGGCCAGGGAAGTTGTAAAAGTATGGATTGGATTGAGATCCTATTTACAGAGCAGGCTTTAGGCACTTCCTGCTTAGGGAGGCAGCTGTGCAGGTGGCATCAGTTTTCTGCTTAAAATAACATTTTGCAGAGCCACTACTGATGTTTTTTTGCTAGCACTAATTTTTTGCTTGTGTGTGTGTGTGCGCGCAGACTTGGTAACCTTGCAGAAAGCTCACTGGTAGCTTTGTTGATCATTATTGGTTGTTCTCTAAATGTGATTCCTTATTTCTTCCCTAGGAATGGGCATTAATTCTCAGAATCCTCGAATTTCAGGTCCAAACCCAGTGGGTCCAATGCCAACCCTTAGCCCAATGGGAATGACCCAGCCTCTTTCCCATAACAACCAGATGCCCTCTCCAAATGCTATGGGACCCAGTATACCTCCTCATGGGGTCCCTGTGGGACCTGGCCTGATGTCACACAACCCGATGATGGGGCACAGTTCCCAGGAGTCTCCAATGGTACCTCAAGGACGCCTGGGCTTCCCACAGGGGTTCCCTCCTGTACAGTCCCCACCACAGCAGGTGCCATTTCCACACAATGGGCCCAGCGGTGGACAAGGCAACTTCCCAGCGGGAATGGGCTTCCACGGAGAAGGACCTCTGGGGCGTCCTACCAACCTGCCCCAAAGTTCGACAGATCCAGCACTTTGCAAGACTGGAGGCCCTGGTGGTCCAGACTCCTTCACGGTTCTTGGAAACAATATGCCTTCGGTTTTCACCGATCCGGAGCTGCAGGAGGTGATCCGTCCTGGAGCCACGGGAATACCTGAGTTTGACCTGTCCAGGATTATCCCATCAGAGAAGCCTAGCCAGACACTACAGTATTTCCCTCGTGGGGAGGTGCCGGGCCGCAAGCAGCCGCAGGGTCCTGGGCCTGGCTTCTCTCACATGCAGGGGATGATAGGAGAGCAGGCCCCGAGGATGGGACTAACACTGCCCGGCATGGGAGGCCCTGGGCCAGTGGGAACTCCGGATATCCCTCTTGGGACGGCTCCATCCATGCCAAGTCATAACCCGATGAGGCCGCCCGCCTTTCTGCAGCAGGGCATGATGGGGCCACACCACCGCATGATGTCACCAGCACAGACGGCGATGCCTGGGCAGCCCGCACTCATGAGCAACCCTGTGGCCGCCGTAGGCATGATCCCAGGCAAGGACCGAGCCCCTGCGGGGCTGTACAGCCACCCGGGGCCTGTTGGGTCACCTGGCATGATGATGTCAATGCAGGGCATGATGGGACCCCAACAAAACATCATGATTCCCCCACAGATGAGGCCCCGAGGTATGGCTGCTGACGTTGGCATGGGAGGATTTAGCCAAGGCCCTGGAAACCCAGGGAACATGATGTTTTAAGCTGCTACCGTAAGACTGGATGTTCTGATCCTTGTCAAGATGAGATTCCAAGTCCTGAGGGCTTTTTTGAGAGCTTCAGGAGTACAGTTTGGCCATGCAATAGGTGAAAAGAGACCAGAGGACGCTTTGGGAAATCTCGAATGTATGGAATTACCTTAAAAAAAAAAAAAAAAAGGAAAAAAAGAAAAAAAATCATTTTAACAGGTTGGGTTTTTTTTTTTTTTGTTGTTTTTTAAGATTTATTTTTTAAAAATTATTTTTGTGGACTTTGGTATCCCGTGAGGCACCTGCTTTGAGAATCTGTAGCTGTATTTTGAGAATTGCCATTTGTCACAAGTTGCACCATTCTCTGTATGTTTACGTCCTTCGGACTGGCTTCTCCCAGGACTCTCGGTTATTTTGGTTTTTTTGTTTTGTTTTGTTTTTTTCTTTGTGTACTGTACTATATTGTAAAAGGGATTTTAGCAGAGACTTTAGTCTTTGGGGTGAGAGGAGAATGGGATTCTAGGCTGTTTAGGTGGAGAATCCATCTTCAGAACTTTGGACTATTTTCCTTCAACTCCAGTGTATAGAAAAACCAAACTACGACCTCAGAGCAGAGTATTAATGAAAAGCACAAAAAAGGAACTTAAGTTCAGTGAGGGGAATCTTTTAAAAGAAATAAATAATAAGTTAAGGACATATTTTTCAAATTATGGCGTGCTGTCCAGCACCTTCTGTCTCTCCCTCCCACTCTTTATTAAATAGGCTTCTCTCTCCCTCCGTCCCCCTTCTGTCTCCTCCTATGGCAGCTGCAATACATTGTGTTCTTTTGGGGAGTAAATCTAGGAGAGCCTCTCCTCATGTGGGGAGCCTTCCCACTTTTAGGAAAGGTCTGGACTTGGACACTGTTACATCCTACAGTAGTCTCTCTCACTGTTTCCTAATCTCCTTTTCTTAGAAACCCCAAGTGATTTTATTAATGTGGGAGTGGAACAGACACTAAAAGTTATCCAGGATTTTTTTTTTGCGGTTGTTTTTTTTTCCTCCCCAGCGTAAAACGTTCTGTGTAACCTCCATTAAATTTGGTACAAAACCACTTGCCAGGGCTGTGGTGTCAGAAAAATAAAATATATTGTTTCTTACAAAAATGAACTGTCTTCTTTATCCATTCCGCTTGTTTCTGTGTACATCACACAGCTGGCCAGGTGACTGTTTGCTCTTCTTTCTGATCACAGCCAGCCTAGGGGCCAGGTGGGGCAAGTTTTGGCAGCTCCTGAAAGTGTGGTCTTGTGGGCAGCAGATGTTTCTTGTGAGGTACTTATGTGTGCTTAATGCTGAGCTGAGCTTGTTTTTCCTTGGAGCGAGGTCCTGTTTCAGAATGCCTCAGGGTGATAGTTACTGTCTATCTTCCTTAGCTTATTGAGGGTCTAGGAATGGATGAAACTTGTCTCCATCACTTCCTCCTGGTGAGTGTTTGCAGCACTACAAGGTACACGGGTTTGATCTTTCCTGGAGTCCGGCACTGTGCAAGGCACTGGGGCTGTGTGTCCCTGTGGCGGCTTTGGGTTGGGTAGGGCCTCTCGGAGGCTGAGAGAGTGGGGATGAGCTTAAATAACAAAGGTGAGAGAGAAACCGCCAGTGAGCAGTTTTTATGAGGACACCCCTGCTGGATAAATTGTTGCTTTGCCATAGCTCTCACTGATCGCTTCCTAATCCTTTGTCTTTTCAAACCTGCTTCTTGAGAGGATTTCAGCAAGAAGCTTTTATGGTTTTGTCTGTGAGGAGTGAAAGACTGGGTGAGGAAACATGGATTGGGAGTTGAACCCTTCTGGAGAAGACTGGGATGAGCCAGCTGTGGATCTGCAGGGCAGGGTGTGGGCTCTGTGGCTGTCTGTTCTCTGGTCCCCCAGCGCTGTACATGAAGTGTGTAAACTCTGTGCTTCCTTCCACTTACTGTTACTTGAAATGATTTCAATGAATAGTTTCCTCAGAGAGCTGGCTATTAGTGTGAAACTTCACATGGAGAATGAATGCCTTTAATACGCTGGAATGTGAGAGTTTTGCAGAATTAACTGATCCTTAACAGGTGGAAAAGGAATTGCTGTCAGTGGCTTACCCAAATTTCATTGATAGTGTTACAAAGTGAATGGAACCATGCACTGTCAGAGGCACACAAGCCTCAGAGCCTTCTGTTGCTGGCTTCCCAATTTACCTTTGTGCTGTCATGCAAATTTACAGTGATTTTGGGTGAGAATTACTCTTTTGACAAAGTGTAGGTTGTATGTTGTGGTGCTTCCCTCTAACAAGACAAGCAGTGTGCCTGAAGCAGGGACTTGTCAAGATTTTAGAGAGAGCTGACAATGACACAGTGTTATGTCTGCAAAGTGGAGTTGCCTCTTCTTTAAATGGTGGTTGCACAGCTCCCTTTTGAGGACCTTGCATGGGAATTTTCACAGTACAACCTTTTTAGGTGTTCTGCCGTGACTCCTGACTGGTTTTACCATGTTGAACAAAGCGAAGTTCTTGATTGACATAGAAATAACCTGTTTTTTTTGTGTGTGTGGTGGGGGGTTTGTTGTTCAGTTTTGTTTGGTTGGTTTTTAACAGTCTTTCTCAGTGCCTCTTCTGCTTGATCTGGTGTTTTGACTAGCAAAGGATTTGAGGTGACTGTGATTTATTCTAGAAAAATCAGCTTGGTGGATTCACTGTTTCAGAATCATTTGACAGTGAAACAATACATTTTAAAGATGCTGGATGATTAAAACTCCTCCGTCTGTCTAACTTAAGATGCATTTGGTATCTTAACAAAAGTCATGGATTCTCCTGAGTCCATGTTGGTGCACTTAATCTTAGGGGTGCTACCTGGTTTGCAGTAGCTGATGGATGAGATGTTAATGCCTTAGGTGGCTTCAGAAAAAATGACTTGGTAGATACAGACTGAAAGTCTTTGTTTTGCTCTGATTTTACTTCTCCCCTTTTTGCTTTGCAAATGCAAAAGCTTTCTAGCTGCCAGCCTTGAAAATTCACCTTGGGATCTGTAAGTCAGGCTCTGTTCTCTCCTTCTTATTTGTAATCAATAGTAACTGTGACTCAGCTCTGGTAGTCATGGTGCAGTTGAGACGGAAAGTGGGATTACCATTTTTAGTTTCCTTCCCATCCTTTTTTTTTTTTCTTTAAACTTTAAAATCCTCCTCCTCCACCTTTGTTTGAAAGAATGAAATAGGCTTTATTCATACATGCTTGGCTGCTCTTCCTCTCTAGTAACATGGGAGGAAACAGTCTGCTGTTCAAATTATCTCATCCCAGATGGCTGCGCAGCCGGAGCACGGAGAGACTTAAAAGGTAAACCCAGCAGATGGTGAACTTCTGAAATGCAAAGTAATGCGCCCACTAAATCAAAAGTTTAAACTATTTGAAATCTGCTTGTTTAAGGTAGTGGACTGTTGCAAACAGGTCATCTGTGAAGTACACTGACAGGTTTAAGCACCCTCCAGATAAAATCGAGCTTTGTACCTGTATCATGGGCTACCTAATCCACCAAAGAACATGACAAGCAAGTAGCCAGCCTTAAGAGTTTAGTCCTGACCTCCTGGTGGTATCTAATGGGGAGCATTTCAGAAGACAGATGAGGATGTGAAGATCTAATTTGCATCAGCCTTGGCTGGGATTCTAATGCTGGTAGTGCTTCTGGTACAATATAAGTATCCTGACCTGGAACAGATGTGGGTACCCAGCTCTTCCTGGGGTAAGTGTGTAACCCTAAGCACGCTTCTTAGACTGTTGGAACACAACATTTGTCGTGCCACAGTGTTGGGGCTACTACAAATATAGTATACACAGGGCTTGATTTTTGTGGTGCTTGGTATGCTGGCTGTCTGCTATGTTGGTTTTTGTTGTGGTGGCAGAAGAGGCTGCCTTTCACTTCTGTGCTCCCAATGGTGAACGCTTTCGTTTCACAGCCTTGGCAGGCTGTTGGCTGAAACCTATTCCCTATTTTGATACTGCTTGAGGAGAAATGATCCATGATTGATATAGGCCTGTATTTAGTAGAGTGTACTTCACTGTATTGATTGGTAGCAACTCTTAATCCAAAAAAAGGTAAGTTGTCTTGCATATGTGCTGTGTCATCTTTCTGGTGAGGTGACCTCTAATTGAAAGATTTTTCAGGTTTGAGTCAGTGCACATAATTTCCAGTCACTTCAGTTTCTGTGTAACACCTAGCTTTATCATGCTTTTTCCACTTAAGGTTGAAGTGTATTATTAGGAGTGTTCTTCAGGCCTTAATAAAAAGACCCAAACTCAAACTTCTATCTTTATTATGTTGGGCTTATTGACAAATACACCAGGCTCACTATCCTCTTGATCTCCTTTGACTTTCAACCAGCAAGCTTTTTGTGCAGAGAGATGTAGGTCCTCATGATTGATTACACACTCAGGTTTTAAGCTTACCATTGTTGTTGTCCGAGTCAGAGCATGAGTCAGGAAAGGAAAGTGATGCTATGTTGTCTGGTGTACTGGAAGCTTTAAAAGAGGATGTTTTACATGAGAAAACAAACCCCAAAATTTAAGTAGTTGTCTTTCCTGATGATTGCCTACTATACTGCCACTGCCTTAAATGAAACATACTATATGAGGATAGGTTTGCAATGCAAAATGGACAAAAAGTCTTCTAGTTTTCAGTTGACCAACCTATGTTAACTGCGTTGTACTAAAATGGCAAGGGAGGCAGCCTGACTTGGGATAGCAGCTCCAGCTTGAGCCTGGGGGCTTGAGGGAACCTGAGGTTGAACATGTTAGCTGCTCATGTCAGGAGCAGGTCTTATATCAACAGGGTAAGAAAGTTTTGGATTTTTTTTTTTCTGTCCGCTGGGATTTGTCTTTCCCAGTTCTTTCAGAGAGTCTGCCTATTCATGTGAATGCACTGATTCCTTATGGAATTGTTTATTTCTGTAAATGTTTGTTCCATGCTCTCAGAAATGCCTCAGCTCTTCCATGCTGTGTTTGCAGCTCAGCACTTCCCACTTACCTGTGTCTTAAAACTCTGTCCCATCAATCCTCGTCTGAAAACATTATTTATGTTAGTTGTGGTCAGAAATAACTTCTCTTCCATACTGTGGGCCATGGCTAACATGGAGTTGCTCAGTGGGATGAGACTAATGCATGGTCCAACCACTTCCATACCAAGAGGAAGGGTAATGCTGGAGCACAAACCCTGCAGGAGACAACGAAGAAGTAACCTGTTTCCAGTGGAGGCTTCTTCCTAGCTAGCGCCAAGAAGCTGGCCTATATTTGGTCGTCTTGTTACTGAAATGTCTTGTTACCCTGCCTGGAGTGATATGATTGCCTTAACAGTGTGAATGCAGTACTGTGTAGCTATCTTACATGCTCAGCTTGTGCTGCTGAGTTCTGTGTTGCAGTTTTTAACCTGGTTGGCTGCTGGTCAGTTTTGCTGAGAGATGCTCCTAGCTCTTCTTTAGGAGAAGGTATGTGAATTCCCCTTGTCTACTGGTATGGCCAAAGCTTCTCATGGAGGCAGTCTGTGCCTCTCAGGTAACTTACAGTTGTATACATAATATTTCTATCAGTGTTCTCCATATGATTTATACCGTGTATAAAGAGAGAGCTGATGAGAGCAGAACACACTGTTCTTATGCAAGGGTAGGACATTGATTTTTATATAATAGCATTGTTGCTAGGCTGTATAAAAACTTGGTGGAAAATGACAATGTTTTGTTTGCTTTTTTGACTGCTTCTAATAGCAGTGCAGTGAGACCTCCAGCAATGTATTTAGTAGTCAAATTATTCTGCTCACTGTGAGGTGTCAACATGTAATTGTGGTGGGGGCAGGCTAATGAAAGAGTAGAGGTAAATCCAGCCCACACTTCTCATGGAGAAGGCACTGTAGTGCCTCCAGTCATGTATCTGTCAATGACTTACATTAACATCACTGCAGTCTGGTTTTGCTAAGTGAAAAGGGGTAACACAGAACCAAAACTGCAGGGCCATTTTAGGCAGTGGTTCCCCTATTTTAGCCTTTACATATGCCAGAGAAAGTAGGTCAAGATACAGGTTTTATTTACTGACGGAAAAATGAGGGGTTTGACAACATAGTGATCCTTGATACTGTCTTACAGGGGAAAAGCATTAT